AATCTAAACCTGAGGACATGCAATTGAATTTTTTCATCAAAAAAGAATAAATTTGTTCTCTGATTTTTATCCTGACAATGAGTTGCACAAAAAGTATAAAAATATAGTCATATCTCTACAAGACGATAAATTCATATGCATTTTTATGTCAAAAGATTTCAAAGAAAGTTTTGTGACGATTATTGTTTATGATAAGTGTACTTTGTGTTCACTGCTAACCAGCTTTTAAACATGGAATTTCCGTTCCATTAGCTAATATATTGAATCCAAACAATGGCTTAATCTTCTATTCACAATTTTTTGAAGCAATCAATTTAGTTCATAATTATAATCTGCATGTTAATGATGTTTTTGAAAAGGTGACAAATACTCTTTCAGAAAATGAATTTGAAGTAAATGATGATAAGAAACAAAAAAAATTGAATTTTATTACAAGATAACTCAAACTCTTGTCTAAAAAAAAGTTTCTCTATAGCTGATTATTGCTTTGCAATCGAGTCTTTTTATAACTGCAACTACGATCAACGTCGTGATTTTTTAGTCTTTCCAAGTAAACGAAAGCTTCAGTCTATAATTTCTGCCACTAACATTGACCATGTTTTACAAAAAACATTTAAAAACGTAAAGAATAATCAACAGAAAAATGTTACTTTGATAGTTGGCGAGGTAAAAATTAGGCCAACAGTTGCTAATTTGTGTGGATTTTTAAATGGGGTGGCAAGAAATGATTCAGAATCCAAAGCAACCTCTATGCTATGTGTCATGATAAAATGCTTACATGGTGGACCTAGTTTAATGATTTCTGTTACCCCTGTTCACAAACTAACATCATTGTATCAGTTCATTGTTGTGAAAGAATCTGCTATTATAGTTGAAAAACATGGTGCAATAGTTTTAGGTTCTGTAACTGATAATCATAAAATCAATCAGCAATACTGCAAAATTTTTAACAGAATAACAGACTATCAGAATAACAGGCAATTCATCCATTAGACAATCAGCGTGTTTGGTTTCTTTTATTTGACACAGTTAATTTACTTAAATGTATTCACAATAACTGGATTTCTGAAAAGTGTAAAAAGTAAAAAATCTGTAAAAAAAAGTGTAAAATCTCTTGATAATAAAACCATAGCTTCATTTTCAGATGTGAAAAGTCTATATCAATACGAGAAAGAGAACATTTTAAAAACAGTTCCTTTATCCTATGCTGCTGTTTATCCTTCAAGACTTCAACTACATAATGTGCAGCATGTTTTAAGAGTGTTTAATTAGAAAGTAGTAGCTTCCCTTAAACTAAAAGGAGCTTATGAAACATCCTCTTTTATCCAGCAGATTTTAGATTGGTAGAATATTGTTAATGTTTCTGCAAAAGTGTAGGATGTTATGTTGAGAGATCACAACCAATCTGTGCAAGATAAAAATTCAAATAATTTTCAATTGTTTTTAGACATATTTAAATGTATGGAATCAGGACATGGGCCTAAACGAGCTCAGTGCGTCACCCATGATACAAAAAAGCCCTTCTACAAAATACTGAAGGATTGATAGCTGTCTGCAAACATTTGTTTTCAGTTGGTTTTGATTATGTTTTGCTTCGTGAGCTACAAAGTGATAGAATTTTCTGTTTATAGACTATCAACAGGGGCAAATGCCTTTATGATGTTTATATGTTTATTTCTTTATAAATAAATAGTGTCAATAATATGTTCTTTGTTTGTTTTTTTTTTTTTTGTTTTTTTGAGGTTTTTGATATCAATCTTTTAAGCTTTTTAAAATAAGTTTTGATTCTGTTACCAACAATAGCGTAAAATTGTTTTAATCGTATTTCAGAATTTTGATTTTATAAAACGTTGTTTAAGCCAATTTTAGTTTTTTAGGAGTTAAGTGAGAAATATTGACTGGCCTTCTCTAGTGGAGTCAGGAAATCGACTTTGCACGTCCTTCCGTATAGTAGTCCTTGGCCAAACCGGAAAAAACAGAATGTTTTTGTTATCAAAAGTACATATTAAATAAATAATAAAATGCAATAAATACTGAAGAATCTTATTACTTATTGTGTTTTTAATAATTTGTTGCATAGACATAATCATATTCTCTTAAGAAATTGTTTTTAATCTATAGTTCTTACATGAATATGAACCAGCATTAAGTTATATTTCCAACAATATATATATATATATATATATATATATATATATATATATATATATATATATATATATATATATATATATATATATATATAAAAGTAAGAAAACATCAATTAATACGAATTCTCTTAATACAATTAATAAGGTGAACATTGGAACTTCTGTATTTCTAGAGCTTTGCGCACTTTTTTATCAAATTTTTTTGTTTTAATTTAATTGTTTTTACGTTTTCCCTCTTTATTTCTTGTGAGAAAATTTATTATGGGTGGCTATTGCAGATTGATAATTTTTCTCCTCGTTTAAACTTTTTAGATGTTGTTGAGTTTGAGTCCTAATTTGAAGTTTAGTTTCGCCTACGTATCTCTTTGAGCATTTGCATTCAATCAAATAAGTTCCGAGTTGACTATTTTGTGGCAATTTAGTTTTGTTTTTTGACGTTAGGAATGTTTTTAAATTTGGATTTGATTTGAAGACTACTCTATAGCCAGCATTCCGAAATATTTTCTTTAGATTTGGGGGTAGGGATGTTAAGAGAGTTTGATAGAATTTTGTTGATTTTTAGAGATCGTTTATTTCCAATCAAGTTTGCAATCCATTAAAGTTGGCATATGTTGTACTCATTTTTGTTAAACATTTGAATAAGAAAATTAATCTCATCTTGTAAATATAAATTACTGCATAAAGAATAAACCCTACGAACATAAACTTTAAATATTGCCTTTAGAATCTTAGGGTCATGATTTGAAGTGATGTTTAATTTGGATATAAACTTTAAACTCGTATTTTCCTTTGTTGTTATTTATTATGGTTAAATCGAGGAAGTTTAGAGTTCTATTTTTGCTTTCAGTTTTGATCGTATATTGTATTGCAGGGTATTGTTTGTTTAAGATTATTAGGAATTGTTATGCTTCTTGAGTGTCAGAAAATCTAGCTTGGCTATTGTCGACATCTTCCTCTTTACCTAAAATTCTATCTTAGATAGAATTTTAGGTAAAGAGGAGGATTTACTGCCAATGCAATTTTGAAAGAGTTTTGTTCATGATGTTGTAAAAATGATTCTGCAAGTACGACCATGAATAAAACACCTATAGAACCAGAATTCTCAAGTTAATGGATTTTGGAGTTCCACAGGTTAAAAAATGGTGTAAACAAAGCTCTATGAGTTGTCTTGTTTCAGATATAGTAAGTTTGGTAGAATATTTATAGGAATCATCTTTATTTAATTGGTCCATAAAAATTAAAGTGGCCTCCTTTAGTGGTATTAATGGATGCAAGTTTATTACATCAAATGAAACTTGAACCTCGTTTTTGTCAATCTCCCATGAATTCGCTTTACTAATAAAATCAAAAGAATTTTTTAGACGTGTTTGGTTTTTGTTTAATACATGTTGTATTTTCTTTACTAAATAGTTCAATATTCCATACTTAGGAGTGCTGATAAATGTTACAACTATTCTCATAGGATAGGATTTTTCAGGTTTGTAAGCTTTAATTAGGGCATACATATGAGGAGGTATGGGATTGCTTGGAAATATATTATCATATTCCGTTTTTGAAAATTGCTGTTTTTTTATTAAGTTGTGAGAGATAAGTCTTAATTTTAATTGCATAACTAGATGTGGGATCTTCATCTAAAAGTCTTGTTAAGCCAATTTGTTCGCAAATTTTTTCCAAAGCTTTATTGTGTTCTATTCTTACAAAACCGTTACCCTTATCAAACAGATATAAATCAATAATTTTGTTTTCTTTAAATTCCATAACAGTTTTTCTTTGTTCTCTTGTTAAATTTTTATTTATTTTTCTACCCATTTCAAGTTCTTTTAAAACATTTTTTCTCAAATCCTGACCATTTTCAATCTTGTTGCTACCTTCTAATTTTAAAGCCGAGGTCTCTGTTGTTTCAATAATATCCATATAAGATATATATTTCAACAAAGGTTCAAAATGTGGACCAAGAATAAGAAGGTCATTTTGTTTATTTGGAATATCGGCATCCCATAAGTTTAAAACAGCGTTCTTTGTATGGGTTGTTAACAGATTTTATTACTGTGATTATTTTTAAATTCGTTTTGAAGAATTTTAAACTTTTTAAATAATCTCTCTTGATTTCAGAAACATTATTTTGCGAGCTTTTTCAGTAACTTGTTCAACTTTTTTGTAGTCTATTTTATCAAGAATAAATTTAGGATCTTTCTGGAGATTTTTAGTTTCATTAACAACCATAAAGAAACGTTTTTTAGCATCGTTTTTAATACAAATCAAAATTTCAAATCTATATTAAATGACAATACTTACTGCTCTCTTTGTATTTACATGACTATTAATTCGTAATGATTTCGGAATAAGTTTGTGTATTTCACATTTTTGTAAAAATATACACTGGTTTTCAGATCAATAATATAGAGGTTCCAATGTTCACCGCAGAATTAATTTAGATAACGGGCAGATTGTGAAAACTAAATTTTGGACTTTTTTACATTTTTATGTAAGCAAGAAAGCAGCCATTCAACTGCTAATGTCATTTAGTTTTAAACTGTTTCTCGCATTACAACAACAACAAAAAATTTATTGTATAATTTTTACGAGCTGATGATGCTGGTATCCATAATCCAGCGAAAATTTCTAATAATAAATTATTAATTGTATTAAGAGAATTCGTATTAATGAATGTTTTCTTAGTAATATAACATATACTATTATACACGATGTCAACACTAAAGACTTATGAAAGACGTCAAAAAACTTTGTTATATTTAGTATATATAAAACAAAGAATGTTTCTGATCTTATAAGAGCTGATAGACAAACTTAAATACTCTTTAAGAAATAAAATATTTTATTTTAATTTAGATTGCCCTGAGAATTCCGTCTGTCATCAAGATGGACCAGGTAATTTTTTAACCTTAAATGTTTTGTTTTTTACTTTATATTGAAAGTTAAATTTTAATTTAACTTTCAATATAAAGTAAAAAACTTTCGAAGATAATTTAACAATTATCTTCGATTTCATTCATTATTCCTAGCATGTGTGGAAATGTTAACATAACAGATAATTAGAGATCTTCTGACAACTACAATTTAGTTAATTTTAAGCATGAGAAAGTTACTTGCTTTCAAATGAAAGTTATGTTTATTATAAAATATATTATTGTTATTTTATTGGAATTCAATCTTGTTATGTTATGTTGTTTTATTGGAATTTAACCTTTTCCCTAGGTTTAGCTGTTAAAATAGCCTCGAATTGTTTTATTTTAGAATCTGTTTTTTTACTCTTGAATATGCCTTACAAACCTAAATATTCTTGTTTTGATCCTCAAATGTTAAAGTCTTTAGATTCTTGCATCTTGATCTTTTAATCACTGTAATTGTCAGTAATTAATGTGTTGTACATTACTAAAATAGTAGATTATTGCTTATGTTACATTTATAGGTCTTTTTGAATGTAATTGCGCTAAGGACTGGCACGATTATCGTTGTTTAAGAAAGGTATGAAGTGTAATCATAATTCCAAATTTTTATTTTAAGATCTTTATGATGTGAATAAAATCAAAATTAAAATTAAAATTTTTATAAGCACTTAATAAGTTTGTTTTACTGTCATTACAATCTCAAAAGTATAATATATGTTAGCATGTTTGACTATTTTTTACATCTAAGGAGTTAGAATTTTAATGTAAAAAATTTTTGTGTAACGAATTTTATTCAATTACAGCTAACAGTTTTATTTATAATATTCAAAAAGTTAAAATTTCAACAAACTGGAACTTTTTTTCCTACAATTTAAAATGAAACTTTCTTTGCATTTTTATTTTTATTTTTTACCTATTGTTTTCATATTCACCTTAAAATAGGTTTGAAATTTTTAGCAAGGTTTCCCTCTTACACAATGGATGGTTGGATTTTCTGTTGCAACTATATTAATATGCATTGTACTGCGTATTTTACAGAGGAAGGGGTGAGCCATTTTTCGTTTTATTTGAAAAAATATTAATTAAATAAGTTTTAAGTTGCAAAACAGCTTGGAATTTTTGAAAATGCACAAAAGAAAAGGTTTGAGTTACATTTTGCAAACCTTTAAATGCTATTATTTACAGGGATGGCAGCTCTGCAATAATTAGATATTTGATTTCGTTTATGGTAGTCCTTAAGCTATGCCACCATTTGTCTTTTTTTCATTTTACGTTTTCATTCCGAGATATTTGTGCATACTGGTAAAGGTGTACTTTTATCCACTGATTCATGGACTGCTAAAACAAAAATTTTTAATATTGAGTATTATCTAAACTAGCAAAAGGCAACCGTAATACGGGTTTTGGTCGGTCTGTTACATAATTAATTTATAGTGGCTGTTTTCCACAATTTAATGTTGCAAAACCTTAACTAATACACTTTTAGAAAATCGCCTTCAGCTTGAAAAAATTAATCCATCTGTAAAATTCACATAAAAATTATGAGGAGGTAAAATAATTTACCAACTACTACTTAACATTTACAAATACTACTTAACATTATTTAAGTAATTTACAAATGGCATAGGTCATAACAGTGTATGGCAGAACCATTTTCATCGACCTTCCTAAGTTTAACACAATACGTTTTTAGTTACTGACACAAAATAATAACACTTGGTCATGCTTTAAATTGACGAAAGTGTCAACTAAATCCTTGTAATAATTTTTTTAACACGAACCATTAAGATTAAAATGAAGTTAACTTATATTATTCAGGAGTTATCAATTTTTTGATATCCCCTTGATTAATTGTTCTTTAGAAAAGAAAATTGTTAACTTAAAAATGTTAAATGCACACATTTAAATAAATTTATAAAAAATAACAAATTTTATTATAACTACGCAACTGAGTACAAATACCTTTCAAACAAAAAAAATTTAATTTAAGATCAAACATGGGTATAACAAATTTTTTAATACATTAATGCATCATATGACAAACTAAAATAAAAATTATAAGAGATAAGTAGACATAAAAATTTGTAAACATTTTACAACTATTGAATGATAGATATATTTACCAAAAACTATGAAAAAAAAATAATGATAAATAAAGTACAAAATGTGCTCACAACCTTTAACAGTGAATTTTAGAAATGAAAATCTCAAGACTATAAATTAAGAACTTTAAAAAATATAACAATATTTATGTTACATTTTTTTACCTACTATACCTTGAATAAGATGTTTATCAATTTTGAAAAACAAACTATTAAATGCTATAGTTCTTGAAAATGCAGCATATAGTTGACCATGAGAGAAACACACTTTGAGATATTTCTTTTGTCTATGTTTAATTTCGCGTTACGTAATATATAGACGATCCCTAAGAGAAAATACTTGAAACTAAAAAGATTTTATTTATTATAATATTTGAACAACCAAGGGACAATTTAAAGAATTATATCTTTAAATAGCAAATTATCAATTGCAGTATTAAAAAATACGCAAGAGCTTCGTAATTACAGAGTTTAATCAGAGCTCAGTAGTTACAGAGTTTAATCAATTCTCTCTCTACAATTCTCAATACTAATTCTTATTTAAGTCTCATCTAAGAAAGAGAGGAAGTGTTTTAAAAACACCATGTTAGAAAAAGTAAAAAAGTCATGCAATAAATAACAGTAACTGGTTTTATTATGCTACCAATAAACAAAATTATTTTTACCTCAACTAAAAGTTAATTTCCAGCATTTCTTAATTAATTTCCAGCTTCTCTCTAACTGTTGACAAATGATTAATTTTGTAAATTTCACATCATATTAAATTTACAAATTAAAACCATGTTTCAACAGTAAGCAAAATAATCAAGTGATGACAAAGACAACTAAAAAAAAATGAACAAAAAAAATTTCTTCCCTTAATCAATTTAAAATAAAAATAAAAAGTAAACTTTTGATAATTGACAATGAACTTGACTTCTTCTGAAACTTTTAAATAGGAGTAATCACTTGTTTTTTACTTGATATTTAATTTATTTTTAACATATTAATTTTTGATTTTAATTTGAATCTTTACCTTTTTAAATTATCATGTTTTATCTCATTTTTATTTACTATTAAAATTTGAAATCCTAATAAAAAAAAAATTAAAAAAAATATTAAATTTTAATGAAAAATATTTAGATATTTGTATTTATATATGTACCTTACGCATATATTATATTGTGATAACGGATTTTTTTTGGTTTTTTGTTTTGTTTGTTACTTATATTCTTGTTTGAAGGGGCTTGGCGATAAGACTGAATTTGTCTTCTTCTTGCCCCAGCCGTGTATATACAGTTTTTAAAGTCTAATTTTGTAAATATTTTCTTTATGGCGAAATATATATTATATTATATTATTAACACAATTATGTTTAAGATTGCAAAAAAAAAAAAAATATATATTTTTTAAAATTGAAACTGTTATTATTTGTTACTATAAATAGTAAAATTAATACTTTGCTTGTGTCTAATGTAAAGTCAAATAATAGACATCAACACCGCTTGACACTGAATTCTGCCAAGTAGTTTTTGGTTCATCAAGCAAAATTTCTTATATTTCAACGACAATTAATTTTATCACGCCTAGATTTATTTCTTACATATGACAACAATTTCAAGTCACCTATAACCATTTACACTAATAACTTCTTCGAGCTTAATATTATACATATGTTATCATTAAACACATTACCAGTGATAATACTACTGTTACAACTGAATAAATAAACGTTTTATATTTTTACAACTGAAAAATATAAAACAAAATTTATTGACATTATTTTAATTAAGCAAAGAATTTAGAACACAGTGCAAAGCTATTTGCATTGTGTTCTATATTCTTTGCTAAATTAAGAAAGCCTTCAGGCACAATCTTAATGCACAAAAATAATAAATGCAGAATCTTGTATAAAAAATGAAGCAATGTCAGTCTAAAGTAATATATATGTATGTATATATATTCAAATTTTTTCTATTCTTAATTTTTTCTTTGAGATAATATTCGTATAGATTCAGAGAAATATAAAATATTCTGATATATAGGCACATTTATGTATATAAACTTACCTGTCAAAAATTACAGTCAGTTTTTCATGTTAAATACATAAAATATATCTAATATAAAATTAAACAAAACATTAAACTTACTCAAATCAGTAACAGTTCGACTGTCTAAATATTTTTATTATTAACCCTTCTATTTAAAAAAAGAAACAAATGATTTGAAGTGACTAAAAAGCACTTTAGCTTTTTCCAGTTGCACTAAAAAATATAATAAATCTTGTTTCGCTAAGTTGCCTAGTTCTTAAGAATCTGAAAACAAATAAGTAAAAAACCAAGAACAAACAAACATTTATTTACTAAAACTACTCTATTTAAACAATTTAAATTAAACAGAGAACAACATTGATACTCCTTGAAAGCTGAAAAACTTTTTATCTCAAATTTGCTTGTAGACTTTGCTTATGAAACCACTTGAATAAGAAAAGCATTAAAAAAGCCTAGAAGCTACTTAAAAATGGTATATGCAACATTGAACTTTAAATGTTGATTGGTGTAGATATTTTTAAAAAATTCAAAATGATTTGTTCTTCTATAGCAAATGAATACACCATAAATCTGAAGTTAAAAATGTAGTATCACCACATACACGTATTTATCAAAAAAATTTTAACTTTGATCATAATATACATGCAAACATATATGCAAACTTTTAACAACTATAAAACAACATTTATTAGCATCAATTATTTAAAATGTAACAAAGAATGCAGACTACAATGCACGACATTGTTAATAAAAATGAAGTTATGTCAGTTAGTATATGTTTATCTAAAGTAGTGAAAAAGAATAAACCATTTAAAAACAAAATTAAAAATTTCTAATGAATATATATTTAGATACCTTAAAATGAAGCATAACACAACACTCTTTTGACAAATTCCAGAGCAAATTTTCTAAATTACAAATTCCAGAGCAAATTTTCTAATGACAAAACTGAAACAGTTTTCTTAAAAAAGAAACATTGTACTAATAAAACTATTTTACCAGTCAATTTAGTTCTAACTTCTTCTAAAAAATAAAAAATAAATACATAATTAGATACCTTAAAATGAAGCATAACACAACATTATTTTGACAAATTCCAGAAGAATTTTTTTTATTTTTCTATTCTGAATAACTTTTACTAAGAGAAAATATACATATAGTATAGATATAGAGAAAAATAAAATAGACTAAAATAAATGCAAACTTATGTATATAAGCTTACATGAACACAAATCTTATTTTATTTAACTTTTCATATTAAACAAAAGTCTTATTTTATTTAACTTTTCATATTAAATACATATATAAAACTTTATTTTTTATATAATTCTTTTTGCAAAAAACAATCTTTATCTATAAATAACAAAACGAATTGAACTTACTAAAAAAATCATCAGCTTTTCTTAACTGCTCTAAAAAATAAAACAATACTTGCTTAAAATGTTCTAAAAAGACTAACGACAAAATGAAACAGTTTACTAAAAAAGAAACATTTTACTAAAAAAACTATTTTACCAAACATTTTAGTTCTAACTTCTTCTAAAAAATAAAAACAGACTATAAAAATTAGAAAAAATAAAAATAAGCAACAACAAACTAACAATTAAATTTTTATTTAAAAAAATAAACATTAATTCTTTTTGCAAATAAGTGCATCAGCTCCAATTTGCTTGCTGATTTTACTCGAAAGACCGCATGGAATATATAACTGCGCTTAGAAAAGTCTAGAAACAACTTCAAAACTAAAGAAATAGTGTATTTTACATAATGCAGAACCGTAATTAACAAAACGAACAATGGCGTAACAATGCGTAACTATGCGCACTAATAATAATAATAATAATATTCATTCGGCTATTCATTATAGAGAAATTTTTATAGTAGAAACCTAAATTTGTTTATTTTCTTAAAAGAGTCTAATTGAAATTGTTTGATTTGACATTTTAATTGTTGCTTTTATATAATAAATGAATTTTGAAGGGTGACGTCGCCATAAATTGCGTCTCGCAATTTTTAGGCGTTTTTTTTTTTAGACAACAATTATAAAAAGAAAGTTTTAGGAACTGTTTGTTTCTACAATACCATATATATATATATATATATATATATATATATATATATATATATATATATATATATATATATATATATATATATATATATATATATATATATATAATAGTCATATTTTTTGGTATGATTTAAAAGGGTCAACATTTGAGTGTAGGCTTTAGGTATAAATGTAAAAATTATTACAATGGTGAAAAATAAAATTTTATGTATTTTTTAAGATTGAAGAATGGGAAAGAGTTACTTCAACAAGGACGTTTTCTAGACTCTTAAATCCATAAAAGATATGTTTATGGTGAGTTGTAGTTATTTTCATGTGTTCGATATAATTTTTCTAGTTAATTAAATATTGTTGAATTCATAGGTTAATGATGTTCATCATCATTATTCCGAAATCAATTTGGTGATTATTGTCTGGTGATTGTTTTCTGATGACAAATAAAACTTTTTTATATTTAACTAACTTTTAATATAAATTCATTATTTTTCAGATTTTTTGGATTTTTTTCATATTAATAGTATTGTTTTACTAACTTATTAGATATTTTTGTCTTTTTTTTATATTTATTTTAGATTTAAAAAAAAAAAAACTTTCAGTGTATTCATAACCATTTAATTCTGAAATATTTTTATGAACTTATTGTATGTTTTTAAATTATGTGGACTGTAGTGCTTTTTAAATTTAATATATATTTTTTAAATCATTTTAACGGAAATATATTATACTTAGTATTTATTTTGAAATGATTTTTTGAAACTATACTTAAATTTTTTTTTAAATTCTGTTTCATTAAATATTCGCAATTAAATCTGAAAATCACTTTTTTGGAACTCTTTTTTTCTCAACTGAAAATCACTTTTTTGGAACTCGTGCGGGCGTACGAGACTTAAAGAGGAAACAAGAAAAAATGTATTAAATTAAAGGGACGTCCATATATAACCAGCAACTCTATAAAATAAATAAAATCATACCGCATCATTGATGTACACACATGCCAACCTTTATACATTTGACCTGAGTAAGGCGGACTTGTATTTTAGGCAACCCTTTTCTTGAGTCCGCAAAAAACAGGACAAGCAGTGCCGTGGCTAAATGGTCATAGTCCCCCAAAAAAAACCTGACATTAAGGCCCCAAAATCTTAAAAAATTTTCGGCAAGGTATTGCTAAAAAAAGCTCCTTTAACATGAGAAAAAACTCCTATATTTGCTAGGCTTCACTATTTAAAAGGATGTGGGGTTGCCCCAACTCTGGGTTTCAGGTTTCGTATTTAATATTACATCTTGCGTAAGACTCGTTTTTTACGTCCGTCTAAGTTTAAGTTTCTTTAAATTTGTTTTGTTATTAAAACAAGTTTTCCAAAATTAAAAGTAAATTATGATTTTCAAAAGTAATAAGTAAATTATAATTTGTTGGAGAATCGAACTCTGGTCTCAGATATGAGATCGCTCTCATCAACCACGCCTGCAATTCTCCGAATAAAATTAATTATAAATAAATATTTTTTACGTGTCTAAAGTTGGGATCCGGTACCAAAACAAAGGGCTTTGAAGTCATAAAGTATCTTAGGGAAATTAGGGGAGGAGGAATCTGCAAACAAGCGTTCAATAAAGTAATGGATGGGGACATAATCAACTTTAAAAAACGTACGCTTTAGTTGTAAAAAAAAAATTTAATTTAAACATTTTTTTCTAAATTAAATTTTTTTTTAACTTAAAAAAAAAGAGGGGGTCAAGTTTTTGGCGTACGTACTATATGGACAAACTTAAGTACTTATTGATAGAGATGTTCGACAGAAGTCCAGTTTAAAAGTTTTTCAGAAGAAAGAGGCCGATGTCTATTGCACAAATAAGAAATTCTGAACTTGAACAAGAAATAAATACACTTCATTTAATTTTAGTATTTTTCTTGTTGTTGTTTTTTTGTCATTTTCCATCGTGTAAGAAAACTTTGACATTTATTTTTAATTATAAATGTGTTTGTGACTGAAGCTTATCGTTTATAATAACAATATTTATATTTTTCCGTAGAACACCCAAAAAATAGATGTTGTGCACAGAGATTATTCCATGCTCTGCTCATGTTCTGAGTTTAAAGAATAAAAACAAGAAAAATCGTTCGCAATGCTGCAAAAACCAGGTTAAACCTAGTAATTGACGTCTCCATTGTCCCAACGTCGGACTCAAATCAAAACTTGGTTTTTAAAAAAATATTGCAACTGAAAGAGCAAGAGTAGAACGAGCATGAAAGTTGATGAAAAAAATTAACTGAACAATCGTACTAAAGATTTTAAATTTTAAAGATCTGCAGTGTTGCTTTGTTAAACGAAAAATTTAAATTTTAAAGATCTGCAGTGTTGTTAAACGAAAGTTATGGAATGAAATATTAAACGAATTTTACAGTGAGCGAACGATTAAATTGTTATTCAAAGAAGCAAACAAGCTAAATTGAAAAATTTGCCAAAGTAGTAAACTTGTTACTCACGATTCTTTATGAAACTCTTTTATTTTTAATTTGTCGTTGACATTAGTCAACGACAAATTCTGGATCTGATTTAATGTCAACGACAAATTCTGGATCTGATTTAATGTCAACGACAAATGTTTGAAATAAATTACATGATAATAAATAATAATATTGAATTACAAGATATTGATACCAATTTTTTTTGGTAACTTGAATTCATTTTTGTTTTTTTGAATTCATTTTTGTTTTTTATAACTATTGAATAAAAGAATTTCATAAAAATCACGAATCATTTCATAAATCATTTTATAAATTACGAATCATTTCATAAAAAATCACTTTGTTGTAAAAATACGAGCAGTAACTTTGCGAAGCATCTGACTAACTAAAATAGTTCAGATCTAGGTCTGATTTGATGATTTGAATTACTTTAGTGAGCCAGATGCTTTGCAAAGTTACTGCTCGTATTTTTATAACAAAGAAATAAAAAGAATTTCTAGAGCGGAATTGTTTTAATGCTATTTAGGAGTTTGAAAAAAAAACTTTGAAATCTTATGTACTTTTATAGAATGAACAAATATTTTTTGACAAAATTTTTTTAACTGAAACTTAGCGATGACACTGACAGTTTTAACTTAATCTCCATCCTACAGGTTAAAAGATCATCTTCATGATCCCGTAAGTAAAAGACAAAAAAAAAATGAGGTGGTGGTTTACAAATTCGAATAAAGTCTGTTTGTAAAACTTGGTTGGAAGCTCAACCCATTGAAGCTAATCTCTGAGTTTTTAAAAACCGAGGCTTTTTAAAACTCAGAGATTAGTTTAAGACAGTTGTAAACAAACATAAACAAATGTTTTTAGTTAATTGTTTATAATTGAATTACAAAATAGTATTTAAATTTAGGGGAAACATTAAAAAAAAATATTCAAAAAAATAATTATTTTAGAATAGTAAGAAGAGTGATAACTACCATGAGCTTGCAAAATTATGGCTTATGTACCTAGAACCTAGCTTTATTTATAAGTTTAGAAAACTTTTGTGCTATGCATTATACCAGATTCATGGCCGAAGGTATTTATTACCTGAAACTCTCATCACCAGGATAGGAATGTTTATAGCCAAGTTTCTGACTAAAGTGAGGCTAGATATTTCACCATTACAGTTATTCAAACTAAATATAAATATCAACCCTCGAAATTAGGGTCGGCATTCGGCAATGCCGAGCTAACTGCGACGGACTTATGTATATTTTTTGAATGCATGGGTTAATAGGCAGCACTTTTTATTATAAATTACAAACTTATAAGTTTATTATATCAACTTAAAAGCGCATGCGTAAAACAGTTAACGCTGTTTATATATTGTAACTTGTTAACGCTCTTTATATATTGTAAATATTTGTGGTGGACATTTATATAAACTGAAGACGTGTAAATGTTATTTATTTTTGAAATATATAATAATTGTTGTTAAAAAACAAACAAAAAAAAACTGCCGACCAGAAAGTGTTTTAGGTTGGCAAATAATTGTCGACCTCGTTTCTGTGTTTTATGGTGAGACCTTTGTATCAAAATTATTTTGCCGACCTGATGCCGACCTCTAAAAGATTGAGGTTGTTTTTTCCTAATTCCGAGGGTTGAAGTATTGTATATAAATATAAATTGACTGTTACTAGGACTATTGACTATTAAAATTCATGCATTAAAAATTAGAGATATATGTCCAAATTTTTTTAGAATGAACCTGCTGCCATTGCAGTGTTTAAGTGATAGGGAAACTATAGCTGGTACCTGGATCCAACTGTTGTTCTCATATTGCTTGAAACATCAGACGTTTCAATCACAAAATAAGAAAAGAAGAAGGTAACCAAAATGCTCTATAACATGCCAAGTCCAGGTTACTATGAAATGAATAGATATAATCATGTTATATCTATTCATTTCATAGTCATAAATAGATAAATAAATGTTTTTTACCTGTAATAAAAGACATATCTGTTCTTGACAAGCGGCAAGAATCGGTTGACTTCATCACTGCTGAATTATCGCTGCGTTTTTTAAACTAACATATAAACATATATAACATATAAACATATATAACATATAAACATATATAACATATAAACATATATAACATATAAACATATATAACATATAAACATATATAACATATAAACATATATAACATATAAACATATATAACATATAAACATATATAACATATAAACATATATAACATATAAACATATATAACATATAAACATATATAACATATAAACATATATAACATATAAACATATATAACATATAAACATATATAACATATAAACATATATAACATATAAACATATATAACATATAAACATATATAACATATAAACATATATAACATATAAACATATATAACATATAAACATATATAACATATAAACATATATAACATATAAACATATATAACATATAAACATATATAACATATAAACATATATAACATATAAACATATATAACATATAAACATATATAACATATAAACATATATAACATATAAACATATATAACATATAAACATATATAACATATAAACATATATAACATATAAACATATATAACATATAAACATATATAACATATAAACATATATAACATATAAACATATATAACATATAAACATATATAACATATAAACATATATAACATATAAACATATATAACATATAAACATATATAACATATAAACATATATAACATATAAACATATATAACATATAAACATATATAACATATAAACATATATAACATATAAACATATATAACATATAAACATATATA